AGGTGACCACCATTTTACTCTTCACTTTTAAGAGTTCAACATTTTACATTCCACATAAAGTGAGATCATGCAGTATTTATCTTTCTGGGTCTGGCTTATTTCACTTAACACAGTGTCTAAAATAGATTCTTTTACATAAAATTAAGGCAGAAGGCCTTGCTTTTTAGACATTTAAGAATTCTATTTTTTTTTGAGACGGTGTCTCACTTTGTTGCCCAGGCTAGAGTGAGTGCCATGGCATCAGTCTAGCTCACAGCAACCTCAATCTTCTGGGCTCAAGCAATCCTACAGCCTCAGCCTCCTGAGTAGCTGGGACTACAGGCATGTGTCACCATGCCCGGCTAATTTTTTGTATATATATATTTTAGTTGGTCCATTAATTTCTTTCTATTTTTGGTAGAGACGGGGTCTTGCTCAGGCTGGTTTTGAACTCCTGACCTCGAGCAATCTGCCCGCTTCGACCTCCCAGAGTACTAGGATTACAGGTGTGAACCACCACGCCCAGCCTAAGAATTCTTGAATTGTTCCAAAGTGGCAAAATATTAAATAAAACATGACAATTCATTCTCAAAGCCGTTCTTCTGTATATGAATTGTGGTACGATGACTACTATAACATAACTTTCAGGCAAATGTGTCATTAGGTAGTGATTGGGCTAAATGGATTTGGCCCAAGAAGCTCCATGGGCAGCCTCTTCCTCCTTCAGTGAGTTTGGGCTCAGGTGTGGCTTTGCTGAATGAATATGGACCTGCGTGAAAATATTTGCTCCACCACTTAATGGCTTTGCCAGCTCTGTGACCTGAGGCAGGTCACCTGGCCTCTTTGGGCCTCAATTTCCTTGTCTGAAAAATGGGAATGGGGCCGGGTGAGGTGGCTCACGCCAGTAATCCTAGCACTCTGGGAGGCCCAGGCGGGCGGATTGCTCGAGATCAGGAGTTTGAAACCAGCCAGAGCAAGAGCGAGACCCTGTCTCTATTATAAATAGAAAGAAATTAATTGGCCAACTAATATATATAGAAAAAATTAGCTGGGCGTGGTGGCGCATGCCTGTAGTCCCAGCTACTCGGGAGGCTGAGGCAGCAGGATTGCTTGAGCCCAGGAGTTTGAGGTTGCTGTGAGCTAGGCTGACGCCACGGCACTCACTCTAGCCTGGGCATTAAAGCGAGACTCTGTCTCAAAAAAAAAGAAAAATAATAATGGAAATGGCAGGAAGATGCACTTGTAGGACTGCTGTGAAGCTTAAATGGGATGTGTTTGGCAAGTTGTAGGTGCTCAATAAATAGGACCGTCATTAGGTAACATGAGCATCAATTGGAGAAGCTGCTTTGCCTGCTGCTGTCATGTAAGAGATCTTCTCCGTGTCCACCATGCACTTCAAAGCCAAATAGCTCAGATTTGAGGTAGGCAGCTGTTTTTTTTTGGACCACAAGGTTAATTTGGGAAGACTTCTTGGCTGAGAGGAGTTTGAGGTCAGGTAAAGATAATGGGAGAGATGGCAGGCTGAGCAGGGTAGGGCTGAGCGGCTTAGAGCCTTGCCTGTCCTTATTTCTAGGACTGCGCCCGGGGCACGGCCAACTGCGTGGTGTTCAGCTGCCCACTCTACAGCTTTGACCGTGTGGCTGTGCTGCATGTCTGGGGCCGCCTCTGGAATAGCACCTTTCTGGAGGTGAGGACACCACCGGGGTTCCAGTCTGGGTTTCTTCTTCCCCAATAGCCCCTCCTGGACTCACTTCTCCTTCTACCTCCTCCCTGTCCAAATGCAGCATACTCTTAACCCAAGCCAGGCAGAAACACCCTCTGTTTTGGGCACCATTCCATTTCAGGAGTGGGGGCAAGGTGGGGGAGACTGGGGCATTTAGCAGAAGGATCTCCTTTCCTACTCTCTTAGGAGTACTCAGCTGTGAAGTCGCTGGAAGTGATTGTCCGAGCCAACATCACGGTGAAGTCCTCCATCAAGAATTTGCTGCTCAGAGATGCCTCCACAGTGGTGAGCTCCAGGGCTGTGGGGTGAGAACTCTTCTTCCAGCTCCCTCCAGTTCTAGCTTCATTAACCCCTTGCTCCCCAGATCCCAGTGATGGTATACTTGGATCCCATAGCTGTGGTGGCAGAAGGAGTCCCCTGGTGGGTCATCCTCCTGGCCGTCTTGGCCGGGCTGCTGGTGCTGGCGCTGCTGGTGCTGCTCCTGTGGAAGGTGAGGCCTGGGGAAGGCGGGGCGGATGGGGACTGGGCTTCCTGGTCAGGCGGCAGCCTGTTGCACTGTGGTCCTCTCACCCAGCCGTGCACTGCTGTGTTCAGCAGATCTGCAGTATGCACCTACCCTTTATGTACCAGGAACGCTGTTAGGCCCTTAATGTTTTAGTAAGTCAGATGCAGATCTTGTCTTCAGGGACTTTATAGTCTAGTGGGGATGGTGAGCCTGTGGTTAAGGCCAAGGCAGAAGGTGCTGAGTTGAAAAAATGCAGTGGGAGTTCAGAGGAAGGCAGGCTCGAGCGGAGGTGGCACTGGAGCTGGGCCTTAGGGGAAGGTGCAGTAGTAGGGACTGGATGTAGGAAGATGAGGGGACGGTGGGCCCTGAGCCTTCCAGATGTCATGGAGGCAGGGAAGTGTGGTCTGATCTAACTAGACTGTGGCAGTGAAGAGTGGAAAGGTCACTGTGGCCAAGAAGGCCAACAAGTGTGGAGAACTACCTCCAAGGAGCTGCCTCCAGAGCAGAACTCAGAACTTCCCTGTACCAGGCTCCACATGGAGCCGTTCTTGTATACACAGAGCTGTGTACAGAATCATACTGGCATCTGGGGCTCCACATAAAAGCACACACATGCACATGTCAGTACAGGGAATCATAAACATCACCGGGGTCATGCCCTGAGCCACATGCCACATCTGGGGCTGTATGCAGAACCTTGCATGTCCTTGGGGGTCTGTGGAGAACGTCTCTACCCCCTACCCTTTGCCAAATGTGAGTCATCAGTGGCCCAGGCTCTGGAGGGGCATCCAAGCTGTCTTTGGGAAGATTGATGCCTTCATGAAATGGCCCCAGGATCCCTGCTCCCTGCTTCCATGGAAGGGAGACAGAGCAGAGATAAGGGCCCTCAGCCTTCCTTGGTCTTCCCATCCTCTGCCTCCTTTGTCCCTCTCCCTCCTCAACATCCCAGTGTGGCTTCTTCCATCGGAGCAGCCAGAGCTCATCTTTTCCCACCAACTATCACCGGGCCCATCTGGCTGTGCAGCCCTCAGCTGTGGAAGTTGGGGGTCCAGGGACTGTAGGGTAACTGTTGTGTATGTGCATGTGTATGTGTGTGCGTATGTATGTACATGAGTATAAGTAGAGCTCCCGGCATTCAAGGGATCAGGAATGTGCAGGGTGAAGAGATAAGCTTGCATGAGTGTGATGAGTCCTAGGAACTGAGGTAAGAGGTGATTAGAAGGGTGAGGCTATGAGGGTGAGTATACCTTGCCTGGGGCATGCACAAAGGGTTGGGGTGGCTTGTGGAGTGTGAGCATGTGGGAGTGTGGGGAGGTCCTATGCACCTTTCTTCTACGGGCATGAGTGTGCAGAGATGAATGCGAGGAGACGTGCCGTCTGAGCATGTGGGAGGTATGGGTGGTCCTAAGTGTGAATGTGCAAAGGGCACGTTGCCACCTTGGTATGTAAGGGCTGGCGTGGTCATGATTTAGGGAGGGACTAGACTACCATATTCATGGTGAGAGGTCCTGCTCTAAGCAGGATGTTGCTCAGTATACAAGTACACAGGGTGTATGTGTGTGAGGCTTGAGAGGCATTGTTCCAGGTACGCAGGGGTCTAGGAAGCCATTTTCTTCCTCAGATCTTGTTTATGTTCTGGGGGACACTACTGGGTTTTCTAAGAATCTTGGGTAGGTGGAAACCTTTGGAGTCAGAGGTCCTGATGTTCCATCTTCAAGTCCCTCTTTCAGAGGCCAAGGGAGAGGTCCTTGGTGCTGCACCTTGGACCCCCTCCTGGTCTTTCTCTTGCATGAGTGAGCAGCTGGAGACCCAGCACTGGTGGCAGCACCATGGGGACTGCCCATTGCACGGGATGCTGTTCAGTCTGTCTCCCTTCTGCTGCAGCTGGTTCTTCCTGTGCCAGGGGTGGTGAGGGCAGGGAGCTGGGCTCTGCTGGGTGTCTGCTCCAGGGACCTCAGCTCTGGGCTTTTCATAGTCTGGACTCCTGTCCTCACAGATGGGATTCTTCAAGCGGGCGAAGTACCCCGAGGCCACCGTGCCCCAGTATCACGCGGTGAAGATTCCCCGGGAAGACCGACAGCAGTTCAAGGAGGAGAAGACGGGCACCATCCTGAGGAACAACTGGGGCAGCCCACGGCGGGAGAGCCCCGATGCACACCCCATCCTGGCTGCCGATGGGCACCCTGAGCTGGGCCCCGACGGGCATCCTGTGCCAGGAACTGCCTAGCTTCCTTCGTCCCAGCCTGGCCTGTGTGTCTCCCCTCCACCGCCTCCCCCGGGGAAGAGGGTGGAGTGCGTTGCTGGTGTCGCATCAAGATTTGGCAGGATCTTCTTCCTCAGGGGCACAGCCCTCTCCCCGCAGTGAGACTCCAGCCCCCCAACTTCCGCTTAGGATGCTGTGAGATGAGAGGGCGTAAATCAGGGATGGATGGGGCCGTGGGGTGGGGTGAGAAGGGTAGGATGTCCTGACACGAAGGTGGGGAGAAGGGATCCTAATCCCCCCTCTCCCATTCACCCTGTGTAACAGAACCCCAAGGACCTGTCTTCCCGAAAGTGCCTTAGCCTAGAGGGTTGGAGAGGAGGTTGTGTCGCTGACTCAGGGGCTTCTCCCTCCCTAGTTTCCCCTCTCCTCTGACCTTAGTTTGCTGTATCAGTCTAGTGGGTTTTGTCTATTTATTAAAAAATATTTGAGGACAAAACCTCTGACTCCTTTACTGGGTCTTGCTCCCTCACCCCCAGCGTCTCTGATTCTCCCTGGCGCCCCTGGCCCAGGATGAAAGTGGTAATGGGGAGGAGGGTCAGGTGGTCCGGCAGGGATGCACATACCAATGACTTTTGTGACCAGTTCCTAGAGGCGCACAGTGTAGCCTCAGAAGGTGGGCACGGGGAGCTTTACCATGCGAACAAAGAAAGGGGTGGGTGACAAAAGGTGGGAGACCAGTCCAGGAATTTGTGTTAAGGACACAGCAGGGTATAACTGTTTCCTCCCTCTGGTCAGGGCAGGAATAGAGCTTTTTCACTGTGGAAGGAGGGATTGAAGTGAGAGCCTTCCCTGGCAGGGGTGGGGGGAGAGCGGGACTGGGGTGGTGAGGGAACGGCTTTTCTCATTCTTCTGGTAGAGCCCTCTCTGCAGAAGACAGGTGAGGCTGGTGGGTGGCTTTTTCTGACTGGAGACTGGGGAGGGAGCAAATGGCCTCCTTAGGGGCTCAGAAAGGTTATTTCACAGCCTTTCCCATGATGTGGGGCCCACCAGGTAGCCACTTGAAGAGAGTGGGCTGTTGTTCCATTGGGATGTCAGAGAACTGGGCATTCTCGAAACCCTTCCAGGTCTCTGGTGAGGCAGCAATGTGTTTCCCCACTGTGTTTCCAGGTGGGCTCTAAAACTTCCTGCCACATGAATGGGCCACGTGCTCCCAGAAAAATAGCAGTCCTCCTTGGGAGGAAGGAGAGAGTGACTGTCACTTATCTGTTCTGTGCTGCCTCTTTCCCCCAGCCTCACCTCTACCTGCTGATCAAGCCTGGTCAAACCTGGTGGTGAAGTGGGAGCTATTTGTTGGTGTGAGAGTTTGCGTAGTAAACTGTCCTGCTCCTGACCTTCTCTGCAGCCCCTGCTGCCACCCGCCCACCCAATGTGCATGTACAGAACCTCGTAACTGAGGGGGCGTGGCTGGCTAGAGATCTTTAACGGCTGGCCAGGACAGCTGAGAGGGGAGATTGAGACGGTGCACTGACCAGGACCCGACAGTACACACAGGGACGCACATACCAGCCTCTCTCCTGAGACTCAGAAAACATCAGCCACTTCCTGGACATTTCCCTGAACATCCCAGGAAACCTTGGGCCGACTCGTGACTAAAGCTGGGGTTCCTCAAGCTCTTCTGTCCTCGCTATGCTCTCCCCAGGTGATGCCATTCCTGCCCGTGCTCTGAATTACCAGCTGCAAGCTGGCGATGTCCAAATCCCTATAGGGGATTTGTATCCCTCCAGGCTACATCTTTTCCTGACTTTCCAGTCTGGACTTCTAACTGCCTAGATGGCTTCTCTGTTTGGCTGTCTCAGTAGCATCCCAGACCTCACAAGTCCAAAACAGGTTTCTTTCATCTCAGCAAATGGCACTTCCATCGACTGCCCCCTCAGTCACTCATGCCAGAAACCTGGAAACCATCCTAAACTCTTTTCTCTCCACACCCAGATCAGAATCTTATATATTCTACTTCCCCTAATATCTCTAGAACACTCTTTTATTTTTCCCTGCTCCACCCCCAGATCTCAATTTAAACGTCACTCCCTCAGGCGTCCTCCCTCCCGCCCCTCCCCCTCCTGCCGTGGTAGCTGATTCTCCTGCTGCTTTCACAGCACCCTCGGGTGCCCTGTGGCACTGGTCATGCCTCCTGTCCACCCGCAGGTGGGAGTGTGTGGGGGTGTCAGATGCACTTGTATGTCAGATTCCCCATGTGGGGGTCCGAGTCTGGGATGGCTGATGCCCCACGCCCTCGCCCTTCCCATCTGCTCAATGTGCTCTCTCAACCCCCTGCAGGACCTTCCTCGGGCTCTGCACAGACCGCAGCCCCAGGGTGCAGACCACTGCATCCACGGAGCCATCATCCAGCTGTTTCCTGTCCTCTCCGGGCGCCACCGCAAACCGCTCATATAGGAGGTGCCTGTTTTCAGCCATGCTCTTTTTTTTTTTTTCCAATTCTTTACCACCCCACAGCCATGCTCTTTGTTAGGAACTTTCTCAAAGTGGGGATTTGGGTCCAAACAGGTGATCCTGCAGCCAGGTGGGTACAACTGGAAGTTGGCACCGGTTCCGCAGCCCAGCTCCAGCAGGGCCAGCTTCCTGGAGGCTCCCTCACGCTCCTCTGTTTGGCTGAAGAGCTCCCATTTCTTGCTCTCCATCTTGCGGTTGCTCTTGGCAGTCAGCAGGGCCCTCAGGTAGGGGAAGCAGCTTTGCCATCAGGGGCAGGGGGAGGGGCAGGGCAGGGGCAGGGGCAGGAGCAGCACCAGTAGCTATAGGAGTCGGATCAGGACATCCGTGGTGGACCAGTTCTGAGTGGCGCTTCTGACAGGGCACTGGACTCTTCTCTCTGCTCGGCCTCTGTAGGCACTGGTCTCCCCTCACCATGATAGGACTTTGCTCCCTGTCTCCTGCCTGGCAATTTCGTATTAGCCAGGGTAGAGTGGGTGTATGGAATCCTTCCAGGTTCTTCAACAAGTTTTATGTGGGCGAAGGGACCGGTGACGCCAGTGCTCTGGGGCACTGTGCCCAGCTGGAGTGGGGGTGTGTGTTGAGTCACCTCAGAGGGGAGCTGGGAGGGGAAGGGGATATGTTTCAGATCACAGGCTCAGGGGGGCCAACTGCTGGGGGCAGAGCTGACTCCTGGGACATGTCCTGGCTCCATTCTGTTCTCAGGTCGGGCACTTCAGAGGGGCAATTAGAAAGGAAGGGTGGTCTGGCAGGGGAAAAAGCAGGAGTAAGGGACAGAAACTGCCTGCCTCTTTCTGGAAAGGGTGAGAATTTTAGTTTTGTGGAGAACTGGAAAATGGTGGGAAGTGAGGAGTTGTCACTCCTTAGAGGTTTCTTTTCTTTAAAAAAATTATAGAACCAGGCTGGGCACAGTTGCTCACACCTGTAATCCCAGTGTTTTGGGAAACAGAAGAGCCCAGAGCAGCCTGGGCTACAGAGTGAGACTCTATCTCTAAAAAAAAAAAAAAAAAAAAATTAAACCACTTTTTGGAAAAGGTAATACATTCACATAGTAAAGTTTAAAAGGTACAAAAAGGACGACAGGGAAAATTCTCTCTTACATTGCAGTCTCCCAAACACTCAAATCCTATCTCTTATGAATTTCTTGTGGATCTTTCCACAGACCATCTGTGAATGAGCAGGTTTAGATGCATAGACATATATATGTATACAGATTCTCTTTTCTTTTCACAAATGGTAGTATATTGTACATACTCTTGTATACCTCGCTTCCCCCCGCCATTAACAATGTATTGGGTTTAGTAGATACTAACAAATGGTATTCCAAAGTGAGTGTACCAATTTATATTTCCACCAGCAATATTTGCTTTTATGCATCTTTTTTATCCATTTATTTATTCCTATTATTATTGATGCACAGATTCCTATCTTATTCGCTGGATTGTAACCTAACATTTTATTTATTTACAGTTTTATTGAGGTAAATTATGAATAAGAAAGTATCCATATTTACAGTGTACAATTAGATTAGTTTTGACATGTATATACTGGGAAACCATTACCACAATCAAGATAATGATCATGTCTGTCAACCAAAAAAATTTCCTTGTGACTCTTTATAATCCACTCTCCTCTCTTTCATCTCCATCCTCAGGGAACCACTCATCTGCCCTCTATCACTATAGATTAGCTTGCATTTTCTAGAATTTTATGTAAACGAATCCTACAGCATGTACACCTTTTCTTTCTTTTTTTTTTTGAGACAGGGTCTTGCTCTGTTACCCTGGCTAGAATGCAGTGGCATCATCACAGCTCACTGCAGCTTCAAACTTCCAGGCTCAAGTGATCCTCCTGCCTCAGCCTACTGAGTAACTGGGACCATAGGTGTGCGCCACCATGCCCAGCTAATTTTTAAATTTTTTGTGAAGACAGAATCTTGCTCTGTTGCTCAGGCTGGTCTTGAACTCCTGGCCTCAAAAGATCTTCCCGCCTTGGGCTCCCAAAATGCTAGGATCGGGCATGAGCCACTGCACCTGGCCACATGTCCTCTTTTTAACTGGCTTATTTCACTAAGTATGATGATTTGGTGATTCAGCCATGTTGTTGCATACATCCATGGTTCATTTTTTGTGCTGAGTGGTATTCCATTGTATGGATGTAACACAAATTATTTATCCATTCACATGTTTATAGACATCCGGGGTGTTTTCAGTTTCTTTTCTTTTCTTTTCTTTTCTTTTCTTTTCTTTTCTTTTCTTTTTCTTTTTCTCTTTTCAGACAGAGTTTCACTTTGTTGCCCAGGCTAGAGTGAGTGCCGTGGAGTCAGCCTAGTTCACAGCAACCTCAAACTCCTGGGCTCGAGCGATCCTGCTGCCTCAGCCTCCCGAGTAGCTGGGAATACAGGCATGCGCCACTCTGCCCGGCTAATTTTTTCTACATATATTAGTTGGCCAATTAATTTCTTTCTATTTATAGTAGAGACAAGGTCTTGCTCTTGCTCAGGCTGGTTTCGAACTCCTGACCTCGAGCAATCTGCCCGCCTTGGCCTCCCAGAGTGCTAGGATTACAGGCGTGAGCCACCGCACCCGGCCTCAGTTTCTGACAGTTCAGATAAAGCTCCTATGAACGTTTATGTGTGTGTCTTTGTGTGGACATCTGCTTTCATTTCCCATGGGTAAATACCTGGGCGTGGCATGCTCCTGTTTATGCTGATCTTCAAATTGTCTCAGGGAGCACCTTCGAGCTGGCCCCTGTCTCCTTTTGCCTCCACCCCATCATTCTTTGAGCATTTTCTTACTTTCTGCCACAGAAGATGTTCTAGGCTCAGCTTACATTTTTCCTGCCTTGGTCCTGAACTCAGCCATTTCTCCTAGAAGCTCTAGTTCTTCTGAGTGGAGAATGGTATTTAAAAACCAAGATCTGAATGTTGGGTGTTCTTATTGCTAGTGGGAAGTCACTGCTCTTTGGCCTTCTCTATGGACACAGAAAATGGCAAAATGGTACTGTCTTGTACATTTAATTTGCTCTTTCTTATTATGAGTAAGGTTGAATATTTTTTCATAGGATTAAGAACTTCTGTATTTCCTTTCTATGAATCTTCCTGGCTTTTTGTATGGATTGTTGATCTTTTACTTATTGATTTGAATACATTCTCTATATAATAAGGAAATTAGCCATCTATCTGTGATATGAGTAGCAAACATTTTCCCCTTGGTTTGTTGTGCATATTTTAATTTTTAAGAAGTTTTTCCTTTATTTTTTCCATTCAGAATTTTTTTATTTGTATGTAGTGCAAAAAATATTGATATTTACTCCTATAACTTTTGGATTTTGTACTGTATTTTGAAAGACCTTCTGGACTCCAACATAATAAAAATATTCTCCTGTGGTTTCTTCTATTTATTTTATGGTGTGATTGTTATTGTTATTAATCATTTAAATCTGTGATTTATTTGGAATTTATCGAGGTGTGAGCTATGAATCCAATTGGATTTTGTTCTAGGTAGCTACTCAGTTTTCTTAATACTTTTTATTGAATAATCTTCCCCCACCACCCATGATTTGAAATGTCATGTTTTTTATATGCTATGCTTTTGTATGTACTTGAGTCTACTTATTTTGTATATGTTTGGGACTTTTTATTCCATCACACTGAACTGTACATATCTTCATATATCAGATTTATAACATGTCTTAATATTGGGAGGACTGGTCCCTTTTCATTATTCTTATTTATATTTTTCCCTGCTATTCTTGCTTCTTCCTCTTTTTTATCCATATGAATTTTAGAATTAGCTTGTCTATTAAATTGTGTTGGTATTTTATTGGGATTATATTAGATATATTTTAGGGAGAACTGTTTTCAATAAAATTCAGTCACCTTTGCTGGGAACTACTATCTCCAGCAGCTGAAAGGCCCAGACAAAAGAGGACAAGCAGCGGATTCACCTACATGTGTCCCTTTGGGGCAGCCTCATTGTCAGGGGTCAGATTGTGGACATGGGTTCAGTGACAAAACCACAATGTGAAAGTTTAAGAGTTTTTAGTACTAACAGACCCTGGATGGTACATAGCCTGCCTGTCTGAAGGCCACACACACACACACACACACACAAACACAGATGTGCGCACCAAGGTCAGTGAGCAGTGACAGAGAGAGGAGACCCGTGGCCAATGCCTTTATTGGGTCCAGGGTGTTAACCAAACAGGTTTTCCGTGGGGAGCTTTAATTAGTGGGTTGAAAGCCAGCAGAGCAGGCACTTAGTTCTAGGAAGACATGCTATGACTGAGAGGTGGTCACTTGGTTCTTGGGCAAATGTCTGAATGGTCTGTTTAAAGTAGGCCTGAAAGGTGGGAGAGATGCCTCTAAGTTTTATCTCTGGCCAACGGCTGGAGCCATTCGGGTGGGGTAGAGTACTGGAAACTGTGTCAAGAGTGACTGAGGCTGGCCGGGCGCGGTGGCTCACGCCTGTAATCCTAGCACTCTGGGAGGCCGAGGTGGGTGGATTGCTCGAGGTCAGGAGTTCGAAACCAGCCTGAGCAAGAGCGAGACCCCGTTTCTACTATAAATAGAAAGAAATTAATTGGCCAACTAATACATATAGAAAAAAAATTAGCCGGGCATGGTGGTGCATGCCTGTAGTCCCAGCTACTTGGGAGGCTGAGGCAGCAGGATCGCTTGAGCCCAGGAGTTTGAGGTTGCTGTGAGCTAGGCTGATGCCACGGCACTCACTCTAGCCTGGGCAACACAGTGAGACTCTGTCTCAAAAAAAAAAAAAAAAAAAGAGTGACTGAAGCTTGTTTTTGGCATAAGAAAATTAAACATATTTAAAAATGGATGCTGAGGCAAGAGAAGAACTTTACTGAGATATAATTCATATACCGTAAAAGTCACCCATTTAAATTATGCAATTCGGTGGTTTTTAGTACAGTTGACCTTTGAACAACATGGGTTGAACCTGCACAAATCCACTTATACACAGATTTTCTTCTGCCTCTGCCACCCCTGAAATAGCAAGACCAATCTCTCATCTTCCTCCTCCTCTTCAGCCTACTCAATGTGAAGATGAGGATGAAAACCTTTAGGATGATCCACTTCCACTTAAAGAATAGTAAATATATTTATTTTCCTTATTATTTTCTTAATACCATTATTATTTCCCTAGCTTATTTTATTGTAATAATACAGTATATAATAATATATAATGATATATTAATAATTACATATTAATATAACATACAAATATGTGTTAATTGACTG